CATGTAGTGGTGAAAGTTTGCCAATTTATTCTCGCAATAAACCCTGTAATCCCTGTACAATTTTTTTCTTTCTATGTTTTATTTATTTGCAAAAGCACTACATTGGAAAGAAAATTCACAAACAAAGTAAGGTAACTGAAGAACAATATACTAAAATTAGGAGAAATACTTAGTAAAAACAACACTTATTTAAAGAGAGAAGCCATGGAGAAGAGTTAAGTAAAAGTGGCAAGCAAATGTAATAATTATAATAATTCTATAATAACTCTATTTTTTTTGGCCAAAACTGATTGTAATAGTACCTCTCTATTTCCTGTCATACTTTAATGCAGGAGAGTCCTTACAATATGGCCACGAACCATTCTTTCGTTAGCATAGAGCAATTTTTTATTATGCCCTGCAAAGACCAAAAAGCCACAAAATGCATAATTATTATTATTTTTTTTAGAAAATAAGCCTGTTGTTTGTGCAGACAATTAATGATTCGTACAGTCTAGCCACGAGCCATTCTTTCGATAATTCAGAACAAAATTTTATTACCTCTGTGCAAAGACAAAACAGCCATAAAACGTGTATTTTTAGATGATAGGCATGGGTTACACTAACTCCAAGGACTTTAGAGGCTCCGTCAATCCCCACATTGAAGGTTTTTTTCGGGTAGCCATGTGCAGAACCAGAAATGCGCTTCAAAAGTTAGATTATGCCTTCCATGTTATTTGCCGAGGCAGCAACCAACTTCCAATAGAGCAAGCAGTGATCAAACTCCTTTCTTTGTGCGGTAGTGTGGTTAGGGTTTGTGACTCATGATGAGAGGGTCAGGGGTTCGAATGCAGCTGCTGGCCATATGTTGTGTCCTTAGGCAAGCCACTTCATCCACACTTGCCTCTCTCAACACATGCGTGAAAATGGGTGCCGGCATTATAGCTGGGGAGTAACCTGCGATGGACTAGCATCCCATCCAGGGGGAATAGAAATATTCTCTGAAACCGGTAATAAATGCCGGCGCTGCCCAATGGGCCACATTGGCTCGTGACAGACTTTACTACTTAATTACTGAAAGAAAAGAGCGAATTGAAAGCAAGCCCATTTGCTCACTTTGAATGAGATAAGTGCGGTAGTTTCAAAAGGGGTACGAGGCCATATAGGCCCTACATTTTATTTACCACGCAATGTTTAAAATTCTAAAAGAAAAGGAGCAGGAAGAAACCTCTTTCAATAGGGCACCGATGAACTCTACAGAAATATGAGGGATTACAGGGTTTATTGGGAGAATAAATTGGCAAACTTTCACCACTACATGTAGTTTTGAGGAATTGGGAAGAAACCTCTGGCGTGCAGACACTGATGACGTCGCACAGAAGAATGAAGGATTACGGGGTATAATTGCAAATGTGGCATTTTAGTGTCTGACTCCAAAACAGAATACCAGGAGTAAACCACTCGTTCATATACATACAAGCATACGGACTCGACAAACTTATTCATGAAGATTTGTTTTTATTGGCTTGACTAGAGAACCAAATAGGACTAGGCCTACAAGACATTTTTACAAAAACACAGTCTCCTCAGATTTTCTTTAACTGGTAAAAACAATTATGTTATGGGTTATTTTGTTTTAATTTTTTTGTTTATTTCTTTGTAGCTGTCTATGCCTGTACATTGAAAACACTACGTTTATGTACATAGTATATAAATTATGTACATAGTATATAACACATGCACTGGGTTCAAAACTACATGTAGTGGTGAAAGTTTGCCAATTTATTCTCCCAATAAACCCTGTAATCCCTCATATTTATGTAGAGTTCATCGGTGCCCTATTGAAAGAGGTTTCTTCCTGCTCCTTTTCTTTTAGAATTTTAAACATTGCATGGTAAATAAATGTAGGGCCTATGGTCTCGTACCCCTTTTGAAACTACCGCACTTATCTCATTCAAAGTGAGCAAATGGGCTTGCTTTCAATTCGCTCTTTTCTCACTTACGCCATGGGCATGCAGAGTCTCGATCTGGCAACTTTACACAATAAATATTGCCGGTTCAGTGATTCCCGTGTCGGGGTTCAGATCACTGAACCGGCTATTTTTATTGTGTAAAGTTGCCAGATCGAGGCTCTGCATGCCCAATGGCGGAGTGTGAAAAGAGCGAATTTCCATTGTTTGTTGCATTCGACTTGGCAGTCCCTGGTGGGTAGGTATTTGTGTGTGTTCCGTCATATGTGTATAATAATCTTAAGTCTTTTTTTACAAATGACAAAGATTACCGTACAGAGGAGCCAGTTGATTGGCCAAGTTTCATTGATCACGCCCCTTCGTTTCAGCGAGGAATGTGATTGGACAGGACGACTGTCATGACGAGTTGTCATGACGAACCGCCATGACTAACCGTCCAAAACGAAAGAACGCTACTGTGACATTCAATAGATTTTGCTGCCCAGCGACGACTTTTATCGTACGATATACAATACAATACAATACAATACATTCATTTATGAAACGCTCATACTCATGTAAACGGTTTCGCAGCGCTGGGCCATAATTCGAAATATGAGGTCAATCATTGTAAATAATTAATTCGAATTTGACAAATGGAACAAGCGGGCCTAGATGGAACATGAAAAAAAGCTCTCAAATATCCTTTTCATCATATTCGCGCCATAAAGAATTACATTTGTTATATTCTAATATGCCTTACGGTAGAATGACGCGGATGTTTTCCTGCAGTCGACAACAGATATTTTATCCTGCCCATCATCTTTTCAAGACCATGAAAGGTTTTTTTTATTCTATGATTATTGTGGTTCAATTTAGAGATATCTACACCAGCACTTCATCCCCGTTTTGAAATTTTGGTGAGAATTTAACCTCTTATTCCTTTTGCTCTAGACAGAGGAAAGGTGATGGAAAGATTGGAAAGAAACGTTGTACTTCGGGTGAAAAAGACAAATACCACCCCCACATAAAGCGACCGTCGCCGGGCTGACTGGCACGGGCCGCTATCGCCCCTACGAACACACACACTAAGACATCGTTGTGATCTATTTCCCCCAAGACTTCCGGCACCAAAACTGTCTTAATTCGGCCACTGGAATTGATCAAAAGAATGTACATATTCACTTGGTCTGGCCCGAGAGTTTGACGAATATGTGTTTGTTGAGTGAATATCGCAAAGGTCGAAGAAGCTACTGAAAAAGTACACAGTGTGCCCAGCGGAAAGGCAGACGGGGCTGCAAATTTTAATGGGACACATAACAGCATCCTGTTCAAATGCTATTTTTTTCGTTGTTTCATTTTCACCAATGTGGAACAAAATGACATGATGCATCACTCTGTCATTTTGGATATATATTCCAGTGACATGTTGCTGCAATGAGTCGTGCTGAAATGTCGCCATTTATATTACAACCAATGCGATCTAGAGTTGATGTCGCAGCACCTTGTATACCCTTACAATGTGCTACGTAATGGGTCTCATATTTCTCATCAACTTCATTTACCTGTCTTTAATAATAGACATAATTTCCAGCGCCTTGAGTACCTAACTGCTGGTAGATACGTGCGCTATAAATAAGACTCCGGTACAGTTGTAGTAGTAGTAGTATGTCGAACAGTCAGTGTTTCATTTTGTATGGAAAAAGTATGAATATCAGCGGCTGTTAGTCACGGTTGATTTGTGTTAAGTGGTTTAAGTGCTGTCGTATTTTTTACTGGAGGAGGGGGTCTGTTCTGAAATCCGTTCTTCCATGTTACTGCAGTGAGGATGCTCTCCTTTATCACAGTTTTATCATCGTGTTTGTCACTGTTTCACGGGCAACAATCGCTGGGGTTCCCATTTTTGACCAAGACTAGGAGTATTAAACCCACCTCACCCCCGCCCCATGTACACGCGAAAACACGCAGATTATGACGTCCACTTGTCAACGTGACCAAAAAAAAACCAAAAGTAAGTGAATGGACATTTTAAACATGGGAGAAGCGACGATGGTGTCATACCACTAAACCCAAATCAATTAGCTTAATTATTGCCCGTTTTGGTCTGCTGTTTTGGTCCGTATTCAAATTGTTCTGGCGAAGCCCATGAAAAGCACCCAAGCCAGTTTGTCAGAAATAGCCAACATATCTTGGTGTAAGCCCCTGTGGTCAAAAAGTTAGCATTGGATCGTAACTTCCGCCGGAAACAAACCCCATGCTCCATATAAGTCTTGCCGGGCACAATTTGGTATATAGCAAGACTAATCGTGATAACTTTATCGAAATCGGGGGGGGGGGGGTCCTTTATCATACTAGCCTATTACTTAGTTAAGATACACTGCAACCACATTAGGTTTTTTACGAATACCAACGTACCAGAATCCCTCAGCCATGATGATCATGATTGGGTTGTTGTTGTTGGGTTTCTTTTGTGCAAACTTTTGTAAAGAGAAATGCACGAAAAGACAGTAAAATTGATATCACACAGGGTGGGTCAAAAATAAAGTGATATGGATTAATGACTTTTCCCCTTAAAAGGCAATTAAATTTGACACACATACGAAGCATGTAAAACCAGCATGTTCTTCGACTAATTTTTTTTTTTGGGGGGGGGGGTAATTATTGATATTGATCCATGCTATTAGAAGTTATGCATATTTTACTAAAAGAATCCGTTTTGACAGCTGTCCATGAAATGCCATGTCGAGCTATTGAGCTGAGGGAGTATTGCACAAGGCATTCGGATACCAATATAGTTGGTGTATTTTTTGTCAAGACTAAAGCATTATTTTACTGTAAGATTTTGTTACTGAAATGAAGAATTCTTTTCTGAAATCATGATGGTGATTTTTTTTTCTGTTTTCTGTGGAAATATTTTCGTTCATTCCTGAAAATAATGAAGGCAGGAAAACGCTCTTGTTTCATTGTATTTAACGATTAACGATCATTGGTGGACAGCTGATTTTGGTGACGTTTGTATTAAAATAGACATAAATTGTGAACATAGTACGCAAATTACGTGAAATTGTCACATTTACTAGTCAATGTTCTTTATGTCTGTGTTATTGTTATTAAATGGATCGAGCTACATATTATCTTAAACATTTTTTTCTCATTAAGTCACTCTCTTTTTGACTCGCCCTGTATTATCTACAATGCAATAGATGATGGATGCGTATGACGATAACAATTAATGTCTATTATTTTATTGGGTAATAAACAGTGCAGAAAATTAACGACATCTTATTAGACTACAATCTCCCCGTATTAGACTGAAAGGTCTAATGACTGTAATGATCCGATTGAAAAAATGTCAAAAAGTTACAAGGACTAAATTTAACTTTAAAACTCAAACTATGTCTGCGTATATTAATAAATTGCGTACATTATTGTTGAAAAAAAAATACATTTTTAAAAAGATCACCCACTTCATTTAAAAAGAATCATAAAAACGAATGCAGCATTCACATTTTAACTAACAATGCTTGGTAGTGAGTACCTCATGTTACAGAATATTACATGCATTCTGGCCGGTTGGCTGTCACGTCATACCATCATAATCATACCACATTATGTACTGCAGCAGAATGTTGGGAGTCGGCTTTAGACTGAGTGTAAAAAAAAAAACACAATGCGTTTAAGTGTCATTAAATCGCCTACACGCCAATCAGCTGTTGCATGGTGGGCCCAAGAGGGGAATTATGGTCAGTCCGTGCGGTCATTAATCAACAAAACAGGAAGACTAACCCCAGTTGACCACATTACGTAAGGGTGTGATATCTCTGACATCATCTCTTCAAAACAATGTCGTTGGTTTTAGTTAGTATAATCTTCAGAATTGAACCCCAAAGAGACCTAGACGTTCTCGTCCATAAACGTCAGTTTTCATCAACAATGCGTCACGACTGTATTTATGTCGCATTTTGTGAAGATCTGAATAATGGATGGTTTGGGAAATGGGTGGCTTTTTGCCAAAGTTTTCGTTGATAAATGCTTATGCGTATTGGTAAAACCATAATGCAAGTCAAAATAATCTGATTTTTTTTACAACAATCACTGGATTAATGTGACAAAATTGTCCTGAAGTCGTGTCCCTTAGACCTTTAAGAATTTGTACCCGTTTCAAACAAACAATCTTCGGTAAATCTTTTGATTCAGATTTGGCATCGACAGAAAGGAGCAACAACCCTGATAAATTAAATTACATTGTGCTCGCCCAGCACAAATGTCATTTTCGCCCCAAATCACAAAATTATCTGTCAAGTAAAAAGCCCCAATACGATACTTTAAGTCTACCTGCCCACCTTCACAAAGAGAGAGAAATCCTGGTCCTGGTTACTTGGTAGCTGATTTTACAAAGTATCGTAAGACCCATAGACAAAAACAAAATGCAGAAAAAGTAAAAGTCACCATGTGTTAACTTTTTTCACAGATAAAAAAGTTGAAATTGGAAATCTGTTTATCTTTTTAATCTAAAGGACGGTTCTAGCCGTTGGCTGATTGGAAGCCGATTTTCAGGTGCCGCAAGGAGGAAACATCTTATTGATGAGTATCTGGAACCAAAAAAAAAAGAGAAAAAGAAGAGCAATCAGATCAACAAAGTGTTCTGGTCTGTTTGGGCAAACCAAAAACTGGGGAAAATCAAAGAGGCTTCAGGGATACTTGACCGTAAATTCAAATAACAATCGGAACGTTCATGGATAAAGGCAAAGAAATCAGAAGAATCCTAAACCTTTTTTCTCCTGTTTTTTTCCCAAATAATACGAACTATCTCGATTGTTCCCCGCTCGGGACATTTTCGGAAAAGTTATTAAACAGTGCAGGGCAATGAAATGGGAGGGGGAAATATATGGACAATGCCTTTTTAAAATGTTGAAACATCCTTAAATCTAGACAACCATTTAACATAATACCTTTACACAATACAGGTTCATAGAGGCCAATATATATTGCCGTCATTGTTCCTATACCTTGCCCAAAAATTATTGAGATTATCTCGTATTTAATACCTGGTTGGATGCGAAAGCCATTACAAACCATACGTTTACTGATTGATTTTAACTGTTCTATTTCTTGTATCGGATCAACGGCAGTCATCAAATAATTTACCGACACAAAGATTAAATCATCAAAAGATTAAATCATCAAAAATGAAGACACACACAGGGAAAGGAGATAATTCTATTTATAGTATTGATTGCCAAGTTCCCCGTAAGAAACGAGGTTGCTCAAATAGACTTCTTGAAATAAAGGCCACGTCAAAGCTAAAACTGGGCCTGAAAAGTTATATCTTTGCACCTTGTCGATGAATGAACGAACAAACGACCCTCCCTTTCCAGAAAATCTCAGAATCCATAATACAGGACGTGAGAAAAGCAAGGTCGATATTTTTTTCTGATAGTTACAACCGCGTAATGAGCGAACAAACGAATGGTATATCGGTGAGCGAGCCCCAAGTGGCGGGCGAGTTTCCCGCGAAATACGGCCGGTAACGAAATCTCCGCCACACGATGAAGGCCAGGGGGCCCAAGCGTGGTGTAGCCACCGTTCCCAGGGCTCTGATTAGGATCTGTTGGAGTTCACAATTAAATTCAAAGGCAACTCCCGGGAGGATGTTCCCCCACAGCAGGCGTGGGGGACGATCTTGCTAGTGACCGGTCGGATGGTTCCGTTTGTTTCGATTGTCCCCTTTGACGTTTTGTGGCCCCCGCTAATCGGGTGGCCTTTTGTTCTTCACTTTCGAATTCACGGGGTTTTTTTTAAGTTTCGAAATTTTTATTAAGTTGACTTTTATAAAAACCAGTGGCGCTGTGCCAGTTTAAAAGAGGGAATGATACTCAATTCCAAATGTCTCCATGAATTGTGGGGGGGGGGGGGGGAATTACATTTTTGAAAATTGCAGAACAGGTTTTTTGTTATAGCTTATAGTTATTCTTATTCAACCATTTCTACAATCACCCTGAAAAGTTTTAAGTTGGTATATACGTGCTTTGTCTAGATTTCGATTTTTTTCCGAACGGAATTTAAAGGAATATAATCCTGTAACAAATAAATTTGCTTGTTTATTTTTGCAGGCCTTTATACAGTTTCAAAAAGTGGTTTTCATGGCGCGCTCTAGTTCAGAAATTGCGCACACTATTCAGAACGAATTAGGAGCGTCCCGCTCTTAGTTCAAAAGATGAAATTACTTAACTGATTACTTGTCGTGGGCAGATTTTTCGTTCGATGTCTCATTGTAAAGCACATAACTAATGTAATGCTAGAAAATGATCAATTCAATTTGAACATCTATTTTTCGAGGTGTTACACCCAAAAATCACGTATACACCGACTTTATTTTATTTCTTAATCGTTTTCAGATTATGAATTCCACCCTAAAATTCCAAACATTTGTAATGTAACATTTCATTTATACAACACAGGAAACACAATTCAATGAAATCAAAAAAGCTTAGTTATCACGGCCTACCAAAAGACCTTTCGGTTGCACACAGGCAGTTCATTTGGAAGCGAGTCCGTATTTTGTTTGATACGACGACGAAAGCAGATATCGCCCCCCTTACTTTAATATTGAAAATCAAGAATTTTAACCTGCAGCAATTTTCCTAGTTTTTGCAATAAACATCAAAGCGAGTTTTGTCCGTTCTTCCCCATTCCTTGCCGATGATCCCCCCCCCCCCAATTTGTAGAAATATTTCCTAGCCTGAAAAAAAGACGAGAATTCTACGCCAATCATTTGAGGCTTGTTTCTCCCATTTAGTTATTATTCATTTTGGATGTAGTATGTAATGCGAGGGCGCCACCATAGCCACACTGTGAGTCATCAAGGACTGTTAGAAAAGATGCGGTACGGCCAGTATCACAACTCCAGTGGTACACTTATGATAATTTATTCGTACGCCAACGGGCCAGTATGTTTATTCATTAGAACAGAACAATGATATCAAGAAGATTGTTTTTATTTAGTAAACCCGTTACATTACAGCATTTTTAAGAACGGTTGTCGTCGAGCTACCACAGTAGCCTGGTGGATAGCGAGATGAGCTATGGATACAAAGATCCCTGGTTCGAATCCACGTCGCTGCTCATTTACATCGGCTATTTTTCTTCTCGGAGTTAATCGTTGAGATAATTTTAATTTAAGGGGAAAAGAGAACGAGAACCTAAGTGTCCTGCAATTATTCAAAGGAAGAACATAAAGTATCATAAGTGGTACCACTGGAGTTGTGATACTGGCGCTACCTAAAAGATGCGCATACGGGACACGTATTATGCAGCTCGGAAAACGGTCATTTAATCACTATATTGCTTGGTTTTTTTTATCTGGCCTATTATCAGCAACGTGCATCTCACATCAAAATGTGTGATGTAGATAAACCACCACCCAAAATGGCGATATACCAGGCCTTTTCTCCGAGCTCTATACTTATCTCGTAGGCGCCTCGTTTCGTACAGACCAATTAAATCACCACTTTGTGTGATAATTTCACCAGAAGTTATATAATACATATCCAATTGTTTGGTTGTGGGATGTGCTATGCCGACAGTGTATCTGATGAAGGCAAAATGGTGATTTAATAGGCAAGTTTCCCTAGCCGCTCACGCGTATCTCGTATAGGCGCACCGTTCCTATTGATGTCCCCATTATTACTCTGCAGGAAGCCACAGTTTGGCATTACTCTGTATGTTGGAAACTGAAATGGTCACTACATAGGCGTAGCCAGCCGGGGGGTAAGGTTTTTTTACCACCCCCCACCCCCCCAATATTTGGTAAAGACTGCCCTTTTCAATTCAAGTGCCCTTTTTTCAACAGCTCTCTCCCCCCCAATATTTTGTAAAGAGTGCCTTTTTTTTAACAAGTGCCTTTTTTTTCTGAACATGTGTTGTTTTTTAAGAAGTCATGCCCTTTTTTGTGCCATCGGCCGTTCCGCGTGCCTTGTTTTAATTTCACGCATGTATCGCCCTGAAAAGGACCATATATTGTCCGTTGGTGAGCATTATCGTCGGTTTTAAATAGCGCCCCCACCCCACACTATTGGATTTTACGGAGGCCACCTGTCCAGAGAAAAAAGGTGTCCTACATTTCGGCACGGATGTGCAAGTGACCTTTTCAAGAAATTGTTACCCCTCTAATAAAAATGACCTTACTACGCCACTGCACAACCAAAGTCTCTTTCCCGCAACATATTTCAAAGTTTGACCACGACTGTTTCCTGTTACCTTAAGCGTGTGGATCGAGAAAAGCGTCCAGGTTAACGTAGCTCATTCTGATCGGAAGAGGGCGCTGTTTGCACTGGCCAGTCATCGCCAATCCGCCTATCAGAGTCTGGTGTTCGGTGGGGGGTTTGAGCCTTTTTCGAGAAAAGTTGAAAGTAAAAGTGAGAGTTGATGAATATTTTTAAAATGGCTAGAAGAAATTTCATCGCAATCTACTGAACGGACACATCTTGAACGCCTTCGTAACACAACACTTCATACGATGACTATTTGGTAAAATGTCACAAGGGTCAATTGGCGTCTGATTATGCAACTCCAGTATCAAAACATTATCAGTTCCAGGAAATACTTTGCTATTTGTTATCATTGATATGTCAATACAAATTTGTGCTGAGGGTTGCTAAGAACTGTATAGTGGAGCCGATGTAGGAAACCCTAATCGGTTGCATTGTTGAATCAGATCAGAGTGGATGCAATCACATACCATACCGGCCTCGTCACTGGCGTGTATTTTGCAGGGGATATGTTTCTTTGGGGGGCCTTATTTCCTGGGGAAGCATTCAAAGTTTTTAACAACAACAAAACCTATTTTGCCTTCCCTAAGCGGGTACAAGGGTGCACAAGTGGGAGGGGCAAACGCCTTGAACGTCAGGGGGCATGCACCACCTTTTTCCTTTGTTACGCAACTGCACGACAACCCACTTTAACGACCTAAGTTTAGCGTAAGACCAGTAATCATGTCGTCATGAACATTAGTTATAGTGGGGCATCTTCCTTGTAAAACTCACCTCACGAAATCCATCAATCGGTCGCTCCCCGTTCACGCAGCTGTACCGCTCCTCACCCGTGACGTCACAACAGGCCTCAGGGAATGGAAGATGTCGTCTCCGTGGGCCGCTGTGGTTTTGGAAAATTAAGAGTCTGAGCATTTAATCAACATTTTTACATAATTCATAGCAATTTGATATTTTGTTACAGAAACAAGCGAAGAGGACAAGTTTAGTTGGGGTCTACCCGATGTTCGCCAATACCTATGTTCCCCGAAATCCTTAGGATTAGGGTTAAGGTTAGGGTTAGGGTTAGGGTTAGCGTTGGGGAACATCGGTATTCGGGAACATAGGTATTGGAGAACATAGCTATAGGGGAACATAGGTATTGGGGAACATAGCTATAGGGGAACATAGGTATTAAGGAACATAGGCATGCACCCTTTTAGTTTATACCAAGGCTACAATTAATTGTAGTTTATTTCTTGAATTTTTTCTTCGCAAATTCGAATTATTGGCGGCTCGACAATAATTCGGCTCTTGCGCAGGGCGGGTTTATTCATTTTGTGCGTTTCATAAAAACCTTTCTCACAGAAATAAAGACGCTCTAAGTCCGAAAAATAGAGTTTGTGTTGTTAAAACAAAACAAATGCCTACAAGTTGAACTTTTCTTTTCTTAAAGAGTACGGGCACATATTCAATGATTACAAAATCAGGTTTTCTTTATGTGGGCGCTCACCTTCTGATTGCTGAACATCTTTGGTCGGCGAGACTGCCTCTGATTCGTTTCACACAGCGCATGCGCTCAGCCTCCTCCTCCATTACACAACAGTCACGGAGGGACTCAGTGATGGATGCTCGATCTCCCATGGCAACTGCAGTTCCGCGCTGCTCTTGCCCTGGTAAAAACATTATTAGATTTTCAGTCTTGGGAAAGTACCTTTTGTTTCAATGTAAAAAAATCCTCAAATTTTTGGGAAACGCTGTTTTGTAGTTTGCACGACTTTCTTAAAGTGCTTAATTTGAATAAAGTTTTGCGTTCTGTATAAAAGGGCGCAACCGAGTTTGCAATATTGATGATTTCAGTGGCGTAAATCTGTGCCGGCGAGCGAGGCAAATAGGGGATGACCAAATTCCAAAATTGCCCGGCCGTGGAAATTCGAAAAAGAGGTGGGGCTGGACACAACATTTTATTAAGGAACGCCTTTCAGGATATAGATGTATATCAATATGTACAATCGGGCTTACATCAAAATGACCCATTTTAAAAGCTTTGTTTCTTGGTTGTTAAGATGTTAAAAAAATACCTCGAAATCCGCAATTTTTGTTCTCATTACAAAAAGTGGGTGGATGATTCAAAAGCCCATCCCCCCTGTCAAAAAGTGTGTGGGGGGGGTATATATTCCTCATTCCCCGGGATTTACGCCCCTAGATGAGTTATACGAAAGACCAAATGTTGTACTATATGACCAACGTCTGGGGAAAATACTTTACTAATTCTTTTATTGCCCAAAGAGTTTTTACAGCTTTAAGCATGCATCATTGGATAACCCAAACAAGTCAGTGGTGCCTACCTTCCATTATGATTTCGTTGCTGGTCTCCAGAAAGTCACCAAATGCGCCGACGGCTACTCGGCCCACGACTTTCACACACATGGCTTGTACACGGCGATCGCTCCAAAGGCCACGGTAGATAGCCTTTATTCGCCGGTGCCGGGGCCTCGTTCGCCCGGACCCAGAAGACGGTCGGCGTGGAGTACGAGTCCAGTCCCACTCACCACTGGTCACCCCAGCTGGCAACCGATCTGTACTTCTCTTTGGCCGTTCACCTTTCCCAGCATCCTTCCTTCCTCGGTCATCTTTTTGTTCCAATCGATCAACATCCTCTTCTTCCTCTTCATCATCCTCTTCTTCCTCTTCAGACTCGTTTGCTTCATACGGCGTGAGGGCGCCCTGCATGGCTGACTGGTCTTCGTCGGACTGGTCTGTGAAATTAGCGACTCTCTGTTTGATGAAGCATTGGTGACGGTGTTTTCCCTTCAGTGGGCAACAGCTGTCGATCTGTTCCGATGTTAAGCTGAAGTTTCCCATCTGATCCATGACGACTTCCGTGTCGCATAACAGATCGAGTACGGCGTTTTGTAGATTCCTTAGGCAGGTGCCAAACTTAGGTCCTTTGAGCTGGCAGCAAGAGCTTAGTCTCTCGTGAATAGAGTAGGAATCGTTCAAAAGTTGACTTCCTGTATCGTTGTGTCCCCCGTGCAAGTACATGTCAGACCTGCGGCCTTGCTTTCCTTTACGTTTCCAAAGCCCTCTCGAACCATCTCTTCCTTGTTCGGTGCTCACTGATGTATCATTCTGAGATTCATCATCATACCCACTAACCTCTCCATAACCTTTATTGGTTCTGTTCTGACGTCCGAAGTGCCCCCTCTCGTGATGTCTGTTTAGTCGACCAACGCCTCTTTCTACCTCCATTTCTTCACCTTCGTCTTGATGAACCCTGTCTGAACCTTCTTGTGACTCTGGATCCCTACGTCTTCCTGCCCCTTTCTTCGGAGCTTTATCAGGTCGTTTACTTTCTCTTCTTCTACCGTTTTGTCTTTTCTCATCGTCTTCCCTCTCTCTAAAGACTTTGTCTGTTTGCATGTCTGGGCTGTCTGACGATGTGTGCTCCCTGTCTCTCATTCTTTTGACATCTCTTACATGACGTTCCTTTATATCTTGTCGTCGCCCGCCTTCTTTCATTCTTGATCCTAATTCTTCACTGTTCATATTATGTTTGTTTTGATGCTTGGGACCTTTTCGGTTTCCTTTCTTCCCGTGTCCTTTTGGTTTCAATTTGCCGCCTCCTTTTTGTCCTTTTCGTCGTTCTTGGCTTTCTTCCTCCTCTTTGTTGGACTTTTTGCTGAACTTATGGAATGGTGGTAGACGTGTACTTTGCAAAAAGTCCAAAACATCAGCGACATCACCGCTGTCTAATCCATCAACACGGTCGCATATTTCCTGCTTGGCGTCCCCAATATTAAGTCCTTTACGGTGATGCTTGGGTTTCTGTTTTCTCCCCAGCTCTTGGGTCTCGTATTCGATCTCATCAGCGTCCCTGTGATCTGCACCCGTAGATATCACACACTGGTATCTCTCTTGATCTTCAAGTTGACAGCAGGCATGGTCTGGATTAAGGTAATCAGCAGGATGGTCCTCATCCGGTATCTCTCCCAAGTGTCCGACCTGGTACGCGACGTCCACGTCTTGCCCGGAGCAGACCTTGTTCGTGTAAGCCCGGAAGACCTGCAGCAAACAGCGGTACTTCCTGTCGCCACGGCTCTTGCAACACTCGAAGACACTTTGTCTCTCAGGAAAATCATTCATCTCAAGTCCATCCATCCCTCTGCACAGGTTGTCCATTCTCCTCAGTTCTCCTTCTCCGCGGGGGTCGCTCTTCAGATCGTCAAGGTCAAGAAGCATGGGTGGTCGGTGATCAAGTAGCTTCTACTTGTTCCTCAGCAGCTCCTTGAAACAACATGATCTTTCCTCCGTGTCCTCTTCCGCACAACACGGGTGATCGTCACTAATGGTACCGCCAAGCCGCTTGGCTAGTGGAGTGAGCTCCCCTTGACAGGTGGCATGGTAGTTCTCCTTCCTTACGTTACGCAAACACCTCATTCTTCGAACCCGGCCATGATGCACACAACACTTGAGTAGATGGCTGTTTGCGTCTGGGTTGAGGCAGAGACGACTTAGGATGCGTAACTCGCGATTGGTCCTTCTCTTTTCTCTCTTTCCAACCTCTTGACAATATCTCGTAGTCTGATTCTTTTCATCCAGTTTGTCTTCACCAGAGTCTTCCAGAGACTCCGAGTCTTCAAGAGACTCCGACGACCTCTTTGTCTGTTTCTCTTCATCCCTCATTCCTACGGAAACCGGAGAGGATTCAAACAGCTTGTCTTCACCAGAGTCTCCAAGAGACTCCAACGAGAAGTAGCCTGACATATCTAGATCCAGTGACTGTCCATCAGTACCAGCTCTTTGAAAAAAATGTTTGTCTTCATCAGAGTCTTCAAGAGACTCCGACGACCGAGACTCCGACGACCTCTTTGTCTGTTTCTCTTCATTCCCCATTTCTACGGAAACCGGAGAGGATTCAAACAGTTTGTCTTCACCAAAGTCTTCAAGAGGCTCCGACGAGGAGTCGCCTGACATATCTAGATCCAGTGACTGTCGATCAGTACCGGCCCTTTGAAAAAATGTTTCATTCAGGATCACAGTGATGTCGCTTCGAACTTGAGAAATGCTCAACTTGTAACCAAATGAGACGAAACATTTATATCGCTCCTCGCCATTGGCTCTACAACACTCTCTAATTTGCTTTTGCGGGTATCTTGTTCCAATTTAACAGACTCCTCCAACATCAACGAGTGCCCCCTGTGGCACTTGTCATCGAAACCCGATCGTACAACCTTCCCGATACACATAACCTTGTTATATAAGTCCTCAACTTTGCAGCAACTTTTCAGTCCGGGAAACTTGTTCTCCTTCCTGTTGGAGATAGCACAGAGACGTTTGGCAGGGTTTTCTGTGAGCATCGTAGACTCCTCTTTGCTCGTCGTATCTTCCTGCAGTTTCCGAGAGAAGCAAACGTAGCGAGAGCGTCCGTCATTTGAACAGCAAGACTTAGTACGAACATCCAGCGTCTTTTTAAACACTGATTGTCTGGACTGCTTCTTGATTGTCTTCGGTAGGAAAAACGGGGCCGGTATCAGACCGTCACAAAACTGATCTATCGCCTGCATTTTGACTTTGTGAAAACACTGGGCTCGGCGGTTTGGTCTGGGAATGCTGCAACATCGCTTGGTGCGCATGACTGCTGTCGAGGACCGTGACGTCAGAGCTTTTGCTTTGAACGCTCGACAAACACTGCCAATGCGCAGATTGATCCTCTCGTGCGGCGGTATTGTTTTGGCGATACATTTCTTGATTTTGCTCCCTAAAGAATATTGAATAAGAAAAGAAGCACCAACAGTTATAATTAACAAAAATCAGATCAATCTAAAGTGAATCTATAAACGCTCGAACCATTAATTAAACAAAAGTAGCTAGTCGACTCAGGAACAACACGCAGTAATTGCTGTTTCCACTCAGGCTCAAATTACAAAGAATAAAAACTTCGGATCGTGCGTACCGTCAAATCACATGTATTTTCCTTCACATTTGGAATTTAACGTTTGTGGTAATCACATTTATCAAAATGTCTGTACTGTCTAGTTTGATATGATATGATAGGATTTACATCCAAACATCACTATTATAATAATGAACAATTAAAATTAACGGAAAATACAGCGATCAGGTGATGAATAGTTGAGCCTAGACCAACCTTGTACGTGACCAGGCCCCCGTTGATAAACAATTAAATTGAGATATATATACACACACACCCCAATTCTCAAATGTGTATCCTTGTGGAGACATTTCTTTGTTCTCCTGTAGTCAAGTTTTCGAGTTTGAAAGTGAAGTTTCAAAATGCTCTTATTTTAACCAGAATTAATTTCCTTGGCTAAAATTTGGACTGAATATCCCTTTTCTAAAACTCTTCCATTTGCGACAAATCAACCCACCTTGGAAATTCCTAGTTTTTGAGTAAAATCTATATATCTATTTCGTGAAAATCTTGTGGAGTATTCATCTATAGAAATTGTCCTGTAATCCTTTGTTCCCTATTGTACACACGTCTCCAGAGGGCACGGTGTATCAGATCACACACACACAAAGATAAATACTTCACTTAGATAAATAGCCACCGTTTTCCTTTACTATGTTTTAGCGCCCGCTAGCGGCAGGCATTTGGTTCCTGTAAACCCACCTTTCCGCTCACAACAGCGCCACCATCGACGACGGAGAAGAGCGCTCAAGCCGGCACCGCGACGAGTCATGAACTCCTTGCACAAACCTCTTGGGTTGCCGACTTCAGGATTCAATTTAGAAAAGTCGACATCAGTGGTGTCTTCGTCTAGCTCCTCCTCATTTTGCTCGGAACCTAAAGTGAAATGACATAAATGACTTGGCTGGTTACAAATATTTCAGCTAAGGCTGAAAACCAGCGACGTTTTGTGAAAACAAGCCACTTATGGAATAACAAACTTTTACCCTTTCATGGCGAAGTCTATGAAATATCTAAAATTAAAAAAAAAGAAAATCCCAGAGCGACTTTGTACGGTGGATAATTTAATTCTAAACACCAACACTAACAATGAAAATATAAATGAGAAGAAGAGCACTGTTAATACAAGGTCCTGCTTATAATAAGCAAAATTGTAGGTCCAAAGTTGTAGTTTTCCTTTTTTTCTCCATAACTGTTCATACAAGGTACCTGTTATAACAAGGTAATTTGTAAAGTCCAAAGGACCTTATTATAAAGGTGTTCGACTGTACTCTGCTATCTCAATCATGAATGGTTACAACAGCGCCCGCTCAAATGTTTTCTATTAATTAGTGTACCAACACTTTTACAATTTAATGAGCCCTATTTAACGATTTCACTGCAAACAGGAACATTGTAGGTGGGGACAAGACTGATTTTCAATAAAAAATTCTCGAAGAAAAAATATTTGCTTAATCATGTTTAATGGGTTGATTTATAGACTAATAGATGTAGGCCTATTATTTGTGAAGGGATTCCCAGAAAATCTGATTCAAATTAGTTATATGAGATTTGAAGGTTTGCATGGTGAAAAGGTGATAAGTTGTTTGCGGTAGCTTCATGTGATAAGTCACTTTTGTGAGTATGTGTGGTTCAGGAAAGAACCGGAGGTTGCTTTTAAGGGTATGAATTAATTATAGAATTGAATGCATATAAATTCCTAGTTCACCCACCTCCAAGGACACTTGCATCAAGTGCATTCTGGGTTTCTTCGTCAAGGTCACCCGTGACGTCGTAACTCTCTGGGTTGATTTCTTGAAGGAGTGCTTGAGTCCGGAAGAAAAATGTGAAAATATGTTTGGAAAATACTAATGGTAAGGCCAAAAATAAATAGTCGGTCTCTGGTCAACGCGCGCGTCGATTTTAATCATGCGTGTCAATCTTTTTTTTTCCAAAATTTTCCGCGGTAGCTCCAACAGCGCCCTCTATTGCCGCAACTTCTCAAATTTTTGTACCAAGGAGCACCAAGGAATGGGAAATTGCAGCTAGGCAAATGATCGAAGGCACCAAGGCAAATTATGGAGGACACCAATGTACATGAGGACACAAAAAAAAGCAAAAATAGTACCCCACCTTGTCTGTACAATCCAAGCTTGAAAAAAAGCAAAAACAAACAAACAAACAAACAAAAAAACACCGCGTCGCCGCATCAATTCCGGAACTTTGGTCTGACCAGAGACCGAGTATTTTTTTTTCTTGGCCTAATTTCTGTGTACAATCTCATCTACATTTTTATCGTATCACTAGCAAAGATTAGTTCGTGATAATTCAGATGAGTTCATGATATACTAAGGGGAAACAAAATGGCATTAAAACAAAGATATTATTACAATGCAACTCACTGTTTAGGTAGTTGTCCAGATCCACAGCGTTAGGGCAGACTTTGAGTTCAAGGTTCGTAGACTGCGGTGGCCTGTTGCCATAGACGTGATCAAAGACTATTGCCCTTTAGGAACAGATGTGAAACACATGGTTTTTGTTATTTCCGATAGAACTTCAGTAATAATAATAAATTCGGGAAAACTGATCATTTGGGAGACTTCCCATAGACTTGTGCACAAAATGTTTCCATCTTTAATGTCACTGAACCCCAATTTTACCTTATCCTACCTTATCCACGAATTGGGTATACATGTATTTATGTTTTGGACCATGAGCAATCGATCTAGCCTACTTGCAAGACTGAAATGTTTCCTCTAAATAGCAGCTGTGACATTAGGGAGACACTGAAATGTCTCCCTAATGTCCGGTGCATGTCTCCCTCAGCCTATTAATGACAGCAAAATGTCTCCCAAAGGTATCATTAACAGGTATGATTTATACTTTTATTCTGTGAAAAATCCATAAGAATATGATGAAATGCGCATCACAGTCAGCTGTGATTTCTCCATTCTCTGATTGTTTGTCACGTAAATTGTCACATTCGTATTGCATTGGGGAAAAGATCAGATGATTTTGAAGTCCATCAAATATTGGCCAGGTCATTACAAAAAAAAAAGAAATTTACAAGACACGAGTTAAGAGAGAATGGTTGAAACTTTACTGTGCCATGATTTTTTTCGGATAGGCCAGTTTATCACCTACATAATTATGTATAAAATATACATTGTTGTGGCACTAAGGTCGGTTGCGATGCGAATTTGCCGTCGCGAAGCATTTGCTGCAATATTCGCCGGTTTTAATAGGTCTCTTATGTTTAAATTCGCGTTCGCGTCAAGTGTCAACCGGCTTTTAGGCTGACATCGCTCGACTTCTATATTAGCACCCCCCCCCCCCCCAGTTGCGATATGCACACCTGAAAAGTACAAGAGCGGTGTTCTTGTCAAACTGTGGTTAGTGCAGCAGACAAAATAGCAAAACATTACCAGTATTGTGGTTAACACCCTGCAAGATGAACTGAAAGTCGAAACTAATTACCTGAATGTGACACAGCCGCAAGATGGCGACTCCCACTGAAAGGAAGCTTCGACAGTCTGCAAAGGCCGGTCTGACACCAAGACTCCCGGGCAGTCCTGCAGGTATCTGACATCCCCAAGGGTTGGCACCAGGGTCACATCCTCACAGGTCTCGTCGGAATTCTCGGAAGTCACGATAAACCTCGAGAACGGACGGTCCGTGTCCTTTGCCTTGATCCTCACTGGAAGGGAAACACAACAATCACAGAAGAATATCGATATCTGTTTGCGAGTTTGTTCACGGGTTTTACAAACTTATATAAGAGTTCGGTTGCCCAAAGTCTGTTTCGACGGCTGTTACATGATTAAACAATTGAAGAATACAATAAAATGAAAAATTATAGTTTTTAAACAGCCGTTATATTTAGTATGTTCTATAAAAGTTGTCAAAAAAGTGCGACTTATTTCAAATGGGTAAAATAGCGTTTTGGAATGGAACACAATGATTAACGTATGCTTTAACATGGGCGTGTTTAATGATGTGAATATTGAAGTTGAAAGTGACATTGAAATTCGCCGTTGTTAAGCTACAAACCGGCGAATTTCAATGTCACTGACGTTTTTGCTCCAGATCACCACTGTGCTCATGAATAATTCATCAGTTTAAAACCATTGCTTTAAATCTGTGGAATAGCCTATTACAATGGCAATAATTAGGTTCATGGGCATATGGGTGCATGTACAAACAAAATATTATATAGTAAAATTCCACTGCAGAGGCTCTTTGATGCCAGGTGCAGTTTGAAAAGAAGTACGTGACTTGTTTAACCTTTATAGTTGTGAAGCAGATTACATATTTCATGCAGGACAAATAATATTCAACCGTTTCCTTATTTTCGTTTATTTAAAATTAGCTGTTTGTATAGTGAGTATACACGTACATGCCGAAGTATGTGATATTCATGAACACATCGGAAATGTTAAAGGCAAAGGCTTCGATGCTACATGATTATATTCTGGGGATCCAGAGTTGTAATGACTCTAGTCAATGACTCGACTCAAGTCAGACTAAGTCATAATTTTTGGTGACTCGACTCGACTCGAGTCCCATGGTAACTGACTCGAATCGACTCGATTACAGTCCCCAATCAAAAGACTCGACTCTAGTCAAGGTTAATAACACTGGAGTCCCAAAACTGTGCCTAACGGTACAAAGTTATTAATCTTGGCATGCGTACTTCGCGTTACCGTCAAGCTGTGGCCGCTTATCGCGTACAAATTGATATCACAGTCTCTCGAATCCCACCTCGTGGTTTTATAATGTACAACTATCCTGAAACACGACTTTAAACGCATTTTCCAAATTCTTAGTTTCATCATCGGCTTCGGACGATTTTTTCTTCTTTTCTGAAATGTATTCGATGGTGTTCAAATGTCAGTGACTCGAATTGACTCGAGCATAAATTTGACTCGACTGGACTCGACCACACGCTGTGACTCGACTCGATTCGACCTTCTTCACCTAATGACTCGACTCGACTACATGTACTTCCTTCAGCTGACTCGACTCGAGTCACAAAATTCAGTGACTCGTTACAACTCTGTGGGGACCAGAAGGCAGTAGCGGATCTGGGGGGGGGGGGCGTGGTGTTCCGGGCTGCAACCCCCGTTCAACAGTTCAGACTAATGTGATTATATGATTCTAGTAAAGTGGGGCCAAAAATAATAAATGGAGTGCTAAAGTTCCTTAATTCTCAAATTGCCTTATTCTGCAGGAGAAGTCTGTAAGCTAGATCCACCCCGGGGACACGTGTTAATTCTCAACACATTTTTGACTCTTTTGGATCAATCAGTTCTAGACACAGTCTGTTAGTAGGGGAAAACATTAAATTATGTACAGAAATTGACATTCCCATTGAAGTAACATGGCAATCGTAAGTAGTGCTCCATCATTTATGTGGTTTGGGAATAAACAGATGATCTTAAATGCTACATAAACTTAGGAAATCGAACTTACGTTCAAATTGTTGGTTGGGTAGGTAACCATACTGAGCTTGGCTGACGACAAGCTCATAGGCCGGCACGGAAGTGACGTCACCTAAATCATTTGATCCAGTCTGGTGCTCTGCGAAGGCTTGGCACTCGTCCAGAAATAGGCCTGTTGGTACAATGTATATAAACAGAATTTGGTTATATTACTAGTTTTAATTTGTTTCAGGTGAGCGAGTGGCGTTATTGTATTGTTGTTGAAGGTCTGTGAACCTACGGAATGGGGGAACTATGTCTTCGTATCAAATCAATATGTTTCATTTAGCAGTGGACAGTAAAATATTGCGTTGAATCTGCAAGAGAATCTGGAAGAGTTTGGTTTCATCCAACTCGGCTGCGGCCGCGCCGCCCAATGATGATGATGATGACTCTGCTCTGTTCCATTTTTCACATTTGTTGAAATATCATAAGATGCACTTGTTATTGTTTAACTCGGTGACTGTACAAAGTAAAACCCATGATTAAGGTGCAGATAATACTATTTTAATCTATAAACCTATCGCACAATAAAGTATTAAGAATTCGTTGAGATAACAATGATATCAGTTATGTGTAGGCATTTTAGTGAGGATTTTCGGTGATTTATTTGCAAAGCGCTGATTAGCCCATAGTCCCAGGGGCGGCGGAACCGGGAGGGGGGGGGGGGGCTGGGGGGGGGGAGTTGCCCCCCAGATTTACCCAAGTGCCCCTTTTGCGGACATATGTGCCCCCTCGACCAAAAATGTGCCCCCTCAAGATTAAAAAATGGCCCTAAAAGTGTTCTGCAATTTGTTGTAACTAACTTATTTCCAAATTGGTATTGATATTTTTGATAAGAACGCTGAATATGAAAACCCAGCCCCAAAAATACTTACAATGCGCCCTGAATGGGCACATAATGCGTATTTTGCATAATAATGACCGGTTTTGAAGAGCGCCCCTCTTGGAAAATGGTACCAGCCCCCCCTCCCCCCCCCCCCCACCCCACCCCCACACACACACACACACACACTATTTGTTTTTACGGAGGGCAAGTGTCCGGTGAAAAATATGTGTCGACCTTTCAGCATGGCTGTTCCAAAAAAAAAAGGGCCACAGTTGGTGATGTCCCCCCAGTTTGAAAACCGTTCCGCCGCCGCTGCATGGTCCTAATTCTCATGGGTTTACTCCCCGCAAACACACCCACCCAACCCAAACCAGTGGCGTACACAACGGCAGTTTACCTCTAGACGTTTAGTTATCCTGTAATTTTAAGGGGACGTCTGGGGAGTAAGTTTGTCCGAATTACTGCATGATTTGTACAAGATAACTGTAGTTTACAGATGGGGAATTCGATATTTTCTGCTTTTTAACCAGGTGTGTAATCAGAGTTCCATCAAGTAATAGAGGCAAAATTTCAAATTCGGCCGCAAACACAGCTTTTCAAGGAATTTAGCACACATCCCTTGATCGGCTCACATTCGGAGAGAGTCAAGAATTTGAGACACATTTGGGGCTTAGTGACGGAAATGGCAAACATTACATTCAATGGATGAACGTGAGAATAGGTGTTTGGAAATCGTTGGAAAGCAGACTCATTGGATGGCTAAATAAGTACACCTGTATGCCACGGACGCGGAAGGGGTATAGCAGGTTAGCAGCTAGGGGGCGGCGGAATGCTTTTCAAACCTGGGGGAGGGGCAACACCAACACTTGCTCAGAAAAAGGGGGCACCTTCCGTCGGTGTGAGAGTAAAGAATATAGTCCCGTTAGTTTCGCTGTAAACCTATGACGAGGAACAAATTATGAATACGTTGTCCATCTTGCTCTTTGGGGTTTCATTTACCTAGTTATGTAGAGAGACCCGCAAGAGGGGCACTGTTGCTTTTGATGGCCATTTCAGTGACCATTTTACTCGTGTGAAGAGCACTATTATATTTTTAGGGGCCAAATCTTTCATCTTGAGAGGGGCACAATTTCAATGTTGCGAGCGGGGCACTAATTGTGCTTTCGGGGGGCAGTTTTCCATCTCGAGAAGTTATCACGAGAGGAGCACTATATTGTTTTTGATGGCCAATTTTCCATCTCGAGAGGGGCACAATTGTATTATTGCGAGAGGGGTATTTGTGATTTCGAGGTGTAGTTTTCCCTTCTCGGGAAGGTGTAGTCTGGGTCCCAGACCTGACAATTATTCCCAACGCTCACGTCTAAACTGTAGGTCAGGCAGCCTTCGTGGCTAAAAATAAACATGACGACATTGATGGCCCTTTTTCAAAGCTCGGCTTCGTTTTCCGATTTCGCTTTATCACTTATAGCTTTAAATGTTCTGATCAAATTTTTAAATAAATCACTTGCTTCGTAATATCATACAGTTATGGTAATACAGTTTGATATTTCTGTAAGATAACATTCACTAATGTTGATCTGGAATCTTCAAAATTAGGCACCCAATAACACTGTTAGCAGGCGGAGCCGAATGAAGACCGATTTTTGGAAAATCTCGGTAACGGTCGTCAAATTCAAAATAGTACATGACGCAGCAAAAAGTTCGCCCATACGATCCGAGTATACTTGATGCACGAAATCGTCGTTTAATTTCAATTTTTCTAAATGAAAGCAATGAATAGTAATTTTCAACTCATTTAAACAAAAATTATATAGGTTTTCCCGGCCAACGGTTAGCAGATTTGGCGGCCAAATTGGTAACCAATCACCCATTTTCGCACGGAATTCAATGCACGTTGAGATCAACATTCAATTACCTAAAAACACCAATCAATTTCACATTGAAAAGCATGCGATTTCATATTTTAATCATGCAATTTCAACAATAGGGCATTCAAATTAAAATTGCACAAACAAGCATCCAAATTCGCCGGAGCTTCAAGCTGTGTAAGTTTGGTCATTCGAATTCACCATTAAGCAATCATAATTATGTGGAAAGTAAGCAAAGTAATTCGAAATAGGTCCATGTCGTTAAGTCGTTTGTTAGTTGTTAGAATAAGATGGAGCACTTTTGTTCCAATTTGGAAATATAGATATAAAAACCTGTCTCCCACAAGACTCTGCCACTACTCTGATCACCATGCAAACTGTTAGATTGAAGCACTAGAAATATCAATATGCCAGCTCATGGGCGTTACATGAGAATTTGCAATTGTAGACCGTGCTCGTTTGATGCCCAAGACTATCTTGAACTTGCAGACAATCTTGGCATAAACAGATATCTACTGCCAGGTCAATTGTAGCAACGTATCTGAGATCTGGCAGACGGGAAAACCTGCCAAGAGGAGGGGCCAGAAACACAAAAATGGACCACGACATGAAGCAGAAATAATTAAAAAGGTGAAAGAAATGAAAAGCCTCGCATCATATGCATTCGTTGACTTTTATTTTGAATGAAAAAAGTGCTAAATAGAATGCGCGGAAATGAAAACGAAAACAAGAATCTTATGCAAATAACCCTAAAACCAAACCGACTGCTAAATTGAATGATCCCTTTAACCGAATGACAAAACTTCAATTTAGGATGTGTTAAACATGAAAATGTCAGGTCTTAAAACTAATTTGAACGCCTGAAATCTAATACGAACCACGGAAATGACAGCAGGGCGCTACCTCGCTTCAAATTGGCCACTATCAAGATGAATTCGAATGCTCTTTTTGCGAAATTGCCCGGGAAAACCTTTAATAAGCAATTAGCAGTTAATTAAACCTATATTATACTCGGAAATACTCGGGCGCTATCCGATTGTCGACGAAATGAATTCGGCAAACTTCGGACATTTTCGGAAAAAGGAGGAATTCCTCCCGTTTTAGTCACGTGATGTAAATTGTAATACAATGTATTACCGGTATACCGGAGGCTACCAGACCTAAGATTCATCAGGAATAGTCAGAATCTTTTGGTCTGGGAACCAGACTAGGGAAGGTGCACATCTTGTTAATGCGAGAGGGGTACTTGTGTTTTTGAGGGGCAGTTTTGCATTACAAGAGAGGAGACAATTTTATTTGTAGCGCGATCATTATGCTTTCATACGTGTTCGTTTGGGGGGCAGTTTTGTTTTCATCTCGAAGGGGGCACATTTATAACCGCGAGAGGGGCATTTTTGTTGATCTGAGAAAATCGGGGGGGGGGGGCAAGTCCCCCAGTTCCGCCGCCCCTGGGTATAAGGGATGCGTGAAGTTAAGACGATTGTTCCAGAAAAACTCACCAAAACAAAAACACATTAAATTTAACAACGTAAGAGAAAAATAATTACTTACCACTATAGCAATGTACGCTTTGTAGAGCCAGCAGGCCAAGAAGAATGCTTTTATGCAACATGCTTCAACCTGTTGAATGGCTGTGACGAACAGCCTTGATCGAAACGTTCGATGGCTATGAGAGAATTTTGAATTTTTGACTCCAACTTCGACAGCGACTTCGGAAATAATGAGTTCCCGTTACTGACAGGTGGACTTTTAGTGGCGGAGTGATTACATAAGGTGTTGTTTGGTCTAGTTATCAAGAGTTTGCATCGCTCCTTTGTTGATTGATCAGGATTGTGCCCTGGTACAGTCGCTAATTATCTGTCTTTTATCACATGCGGTAAGTCAGCGTATTAGCCTTTACATCAATCAAACGTTTCTTGGAAGGCATTTTGTTGCACAGTGCCAGTGACTTCAATGTGTACTCTTTACAGTCGGGATTATGGTATACAGGGATAGATGAAGAATGGAATGTCAGTCTTTGGAAGCAAATTCTATCAATCACTCGATCTATGTGCTTTCTGATAGTATCGGCGTATTAAGGTGGATTAAAGGTTTGGTGGCAAACAAAGCAAACGGAGCCGCTGACTGAAGCCTTCATTTTCTATTGTTTGCTTGCATTCTTACCAACCTGGGTCCGCGTATTTTTTTTCCTCGGAGGGTTTGGGCCAAGTCATGCATAATTCAGTTTTTCCTTTGAGTCACTGCAAGATACTTAGGGTCTCGTTCTCTTTTCCCTTAAATTAAAATTATCTCAACGATAAATTTAGATAAGAAAAATAGTCGATGAAAATGAGCTAGCAGTAGCAGTGACGACGGATTCGAGCCATGCAGGGATCTTTGTATCCATAGCTTATCAATAAATTACTTGCCCGCTCGAAACTGTCGATCATGACTTGGCCCCAATCGTCTTGGGAAAAAATTACGCGATCAGCCACTGGACACTACAGTCAAATTAAGAGAGTACATTTTGATGTAAACTTTAACCAGTTTAAAGCTGAAGTTAATATTGCGCGTTGAACACATTGAAATATGAACATGGGGTTATGAGGTATCGATACTGGCCATGCCATATAATTTTATAATACAAATCATTATTTGTTTCATGGTTTCCCAATGTCTCCTTGCCCTTCGTCCTATCTTTGTTGACGGGTTTGTGGGAAACATCCATCGCCCCATATGGAGGGGTAACTATTCAAGCTCAAAGGTCAGATAGCTTGTTCATGGCTTGTTGGACCCTGAGCTCCATGGTTGGACCATTGTTCCCATAATTTGAGTACGTCTACCCCAACTCAACAACAATACATACCAATCCCAAGCCCATGGACAACGAGTCACACCTAATGCACCAGACCACGTAGGCCTATACCAAGAAATCCGTCATTGCATGGTGGAATGATACTAAGACAAGATAAGTTTGCGGTAGTGCCATGTGAATAAATCTCTTTTGTGAGTATGTGTGGTTCTGAAAAGAACCGGAATGAGTCCCTCCGGTTCTTTTCAGAACTACACATACTCACAAAAGAGATGTATTTACATGGTGCTACCGCAAACTTATCTTGTCCTAAATCCGCCATTGTTAGCGCATGACTTAAATGTACAAAGGTGTGTTAATTGACCCCATTATTGACATGTCACACACACAAAAACTGAGAAATGTCAACTCCGTCAGCGCTTTAATCTTCGCAAAGTTTCATAGGCTTTTCCTAGAAGGAAGTCGTTGGTATCATCCCTTGTTTGTACATCTTCCAAAAAGACGATAACATCTCAAAGCAAGAATTAAAGAAAATACCATTTTCCCGGTAATCGGTTGCACAGATGGTAAATAAGGTAACCAAAGGGCTATTTTTACGTGCTCAATCCTCATGCATCCCTTATATCCAGGGGCGGCGGAACAGGGGGGGGGGGTTGCACCCTCCCCCCCCCCCCCCCCCGATTTTCCCAGGCCAACAAATGTGCCCCATCGAGATGGTAGATAAGATAACCAAAGTGCTGTTATTTACGTGCTCACTCTGCGGTGAAATAAATTCCTTTTCAGCAGAATATTTACATGAACCATCGACACTCAATGAAAACTTTTAGATGATCAATCATAAATACAAAACTATCCATTTTAAACTCCAATGAGAGGTGGGAATGTTTTGCTCTCTCGTAACGCTATATGTAATTTCTCTGAACTGTTCATTTTGCAGGCGAGGTATACGCCCCAAATTTCCTGCGCGGGCTATCACAATTTGCATGTCCTCAAATTTTCTATGGTTTCTGCGGCCTATGTATTAGGTTGAACATTTGTAAAACTGAAGGGTGGGGGTTTTGCACAGTGAGCTTGAATTTCTGTGAAAATTGAATGAAATTAAGCCAATTGCTCTTTTCTCCAATGCAGTGGAGGAATTTGAAGGTCATTGGTTATCCCCAGGAGATTGAACAGGAAGCGAAAGATGATGAAATAAGCGTCATGTTGATGTGTGTATAGTTTGAGAGTTGTGCGGATTTTATTCCAGGTTTGTTTTAAGTTAGGGCATGCATTTATTATTCGGGTCTATGGCAATTTATCTGCACCAATGATCGTATATGAGAAAGATAGGACACTAGCTAGGTATCAGTTTGTACATGTGTAGGTGTACATCTATATCTGTGTGTATTTCTACATGCGCCCCGACAGGATTTATAAACACAAATAATAAAAATCTAACTATTTTGAGCAATCAATGTTAATGATTCTTTTAAGAAGACAAATTTTGGATACATTTATTCAGCCAAAAAGGAAAGAAATCAACTGCCTTCCACTTTTATTAAAATCTCCGTCAGTGTGCCACGTCAGGTCTACCGAACATTTTGTTTCTTCTGAATTTGATTCCCCGATTGCGCGGAAATTTTCTCAACTGCGCTAGCTAGAGGGAGTATCAAATTAAAATGCCTAAATTCGAAACTTCATCCTGCCTTGGGCCCTATCGTCTATACCTGAATGGGTGACCACCCATCCTAATTGGTTCGCTGTCCAATGTTGGTTGGTAAGATTCGCGGAATTATCTCCGGGCCTTCATAACTCCAGGGCCGCGCATTTTTCATCCGAAACCACTAGTACAGCCCGCGGGAGGGGGATGGGGTGTATCGATTGCGGGAGTGCGTTTGAATGGCAAATTGATGGAGTGGAAGATGGGTGTTTTCGCTAAAGTTCAAGCATCTTTACTTTTAGACGACATGCTTTCTTGGCAAAGGAGCAACACCGCCCTCTTTAGTCTTAAATGGAGCGTGCAGCGATTATGATCGTTAGTGTGTATATGGTGTAAAACGTGCACCTTATTGTTTCACGTGGTGGTACGACCGAACGTAAAGCGAAGATCCAGCCAATTTTGAATTACGGTATCCTCTTTCTGAGTCCGCAATGTCTCGTATTAACAGTGTAATTAGACTGTATATTGAAACTCCACGCTGTATATTTGAAACTCCACGCTGTGCAAAACGTGACCTAAGGTCTTCTTTAAATTGTTAATATCTGAAATCGAATGAATATCTTGCGGTCACAAGGCACATCCCAAACATACCTCCCGTGTCACGTATCACCTGTTGCACTTGATTGCCAATGATTACCATCGATTGTCTGCAAAGAAGTCACGTGACAATACAAATAAATTTAAGATTGGAGTATCCATTCGCGTGAAGTAACCCTATATTTAAAGCAATCTCTAAACCTTCCTCAAATGTGCGCTTTCACATTCACACTCAGTTTAGCCGTCGCAAACTCATAAAAACCAAGATTAGCATCGACTACGCAGCAAACCAATTGAAGGAGCATTTATTCTATTCATTAAAACTAATACCGATGCTCTTTGTACGATATTCTTGCCCTGTCCTGGCCGTTACGGGGCTGAAATGTCAGAAAATTCATTGCCTTTTTATGGAAGCTGGCCATAACAGTCTCGGTACAGAAGCAGGTCCACTTAAAGTACATCTTGGGAATAGTGATCGTCCAATTGCAATGGCCTAAAATGTCCGGAGAGAGAGGGTGTATATGTCTTGATGATGGCCAGGAGATTAACCAATTACACCGTACTACTTGGTAGAAATACAGGGTGAGTCGAAACGAAAGTGACTGATGTAGAAAAAAATGTTTAAAAATAATTATGTGGCTCGCTCCATTTAATAAAAATAGCACAGGAATAAAGTACATGTTATTGACTTTTAACTGAGAAAATGTCATGTAATTTGCATACTCTATTCACAAGTTATTTCTATTCTAATACAACTATCACAAAATTCAGCTGTCCACCACCGATAATTTACCGATACGCATTGATGAAAACCCTGAACCATTGAGGTTTACCTACCTCTGTGAATCAATGAAAACTTGCAAAGGAAACAGACCAAAGTTACCATCATCATTTCAGTAAAAAAAAACTTGATTTGTTCCTTATATAGGCCTACAAAACAAAATCTGACAGTAAAAATAATGTTTCAGTCTTGACTCAAATTATTAAAATCTCATTTTTATTTGAATGCCTGGGTGTAAAATCTGGTTCTCGCTCAGCTGAATAGCTTCAAAATGGCATTCTATGGACAGCTGTAAAATGGGTTCTTTTAGTAAAACATGTACAACTTCTGATAGCATGGCTTAATATCAGTAATTCCTTTTTGTTCACATGAATGGACGAACATACTCGTTTAATACATGCTCCATTGGTGTGTCAAATTTAATTGTTTTTAAGGAGCAAACAAATCATTTATCCAGGTCACTTTCTTGTTTACTCACCCTCTATCTGAATAGCTAATCCTTCTGTGGTCTTCAATCATGTTTGAGGGTCAATTAAAGATGTACCTTGCTATTTTCGAGTGTCACACCAAAAAAAACCACATTTGCCTAATTGTTCTATAACATTACCCAAAAGTTCTTCACTTTGAGTGAGATACTAAAAGCAAAATATACAGGACATGTCTACTAAAAAAAAATGGATTATGTAGGGACCGGGTACCAGTCTGCTCACGACAAGGAAGATCTGAGTGTGCGCAAAAGCAGCACAAACCGAAAACCTTTAGACAGAGAGTTTCAGACGCCCAAAAGATAAATAAAGTAGTTTTGTCGTACTTAAATAAACCATTCAAATTGAAAATTTGCCAAGAGAAAAAAAGTTATATATAAAAGTTAAAGAGCAAAGACAAGACATCTTTTGGCCTTAGCACATTTTAAAAGTGATAGGGTAAAATGAAAAGTGAACTGTTCTTGTAGGAATC